CAGCACTGCAACTCCAAAGAATCAGTCGACTAACTTCAGTGTCAACCAGAGATAAAGTTCACACAAAATAAGAAGACTTAAGCAGCATGATTACCCTGATATGGTGGGGATGGACACCTTCATCTTCGGCAGGAGCTTGGTCGGCTTTGACGGAGCCGCCCTGGGCTGCTTCGGTGCCTTTTCAGTCGGCGCCGGAGAGGTGGTCCGAGGGCGCTTGGTCGACTGTGCAACGGTCGCAACCCCCTTGCCACGTTCAGTCGAAGGGTCGTGGACAAGCTTCGACCGCCTTTCTGAGCGCGGTGGTACGACCTCCTCCTCCTCTTCTTCCTCGTCTTCAGCATCATCTTCATCACCGTCATCGTCGTCATCGTCATCATCATCCTCAGCAACGTCCGAGTCCCACTCCTCCTCCTCCTGGCTCTCGCCCCCACTCGCCTCACCCTCCTCAGTCGGAGCCTGTGCTCCATTGGGCATCGAGTACAGCTCGGTGAGGGCCTGATAGACATCAAGACAAGGATCAATCGACCAATTGGCAGAATAAACAGAAATGAATATGACAAGAACACAGTGGAGAGCAGAGCAGGCATACCTTGTTTGGATCACTGTGGTGGTCGAGTGGAGGAATCCTTCTGGCTCCGCGTGGGTTATCCTTGTTTCCGGTAACGGCGGCCATCCATCTTTCCAGAGTGACATCGTCGACTGCTTCTGGATGGACCCGAGTCTCATCCTCAGTCCCACAGTACAACCACATGCAGTGGCTCCGGAACTGAAGGGGCTGGATACGACGCCTAAGGAAAACCTCCAGGAGATCCATGCCCGTCACTCCCTCCCGAACCAACTGTACTACGCGCTCCATCAACATCTTCACGTCAGCTTTCTCCTCCGGAATCAACTTCAGAGAGGAGGGCTTGTTCACTCGGTCCATGGTAAACTGAGGGAGTCCACTCGACTGCCCCGGCGTCGACTGATCCTGGCAGTAGAACCAGGTCGACTGCCAGCCTCTGACTGACTCGGGAAAAGTCATGGCTGGGAAGGTGCTCTTATTCCTCACCTGGATCCCCAGGCCCCCACACATTTGGACGACTCGGGTTCTTTCGTCGCCTGGGCTCGCCTTCTTCACGGTCTGAGAGCGACACGTGAATATATGCTTGAACAAGCCCCAGTGCGGTCGACAGCCCAGAAAACCCTCACACATGGACACGAACGCGGCAAGATAGGCGATAGAATTTGGGGTAAAGTGGTGGAGCTGCGCTCCAAAGAAGTTCAAGAAACCACGGAAGAAAATACTCGGCGGCAAAGAAAATCCACGATCGACATGGGTAGCCAGGAGCACGCACTCACCCTCTTCTGGCTGGGGCTGCCACTCCTTCCCCGGAAGCCTCGCAGCTCCATGGGGGATCAGGCCCTCGTTGGCCATGTCGAGGAGATCTTTCTCCGTGATGGTCGACTGGATCCAATCTCCTTGGACCCAGCCCTTCGGCAGGCGGGATCTAGACGAAGACCCGCCGCGGCTGGTGGATCTCCCCTTCGCCTTCTCCGTCGCCGACGCCTTCTTCGCGCGTTCCAGCACCGCCGTCTTCTCCTTGGCCATGGTTGCCGGTGAGACGCGCGAGGAGAGGTTGGGCGGAGGCGAGAGCGAGCGCGTTGGGCGGAGACGAAGGGAGCAGAGAAAGAGAATGCTGAGGCACTGTACAAAAAACCCTCGCCGGGCGCATTTATAAGGTCCCTTCCGAGTGGATGACAGGTGGGCCCGGTCGATCTAATCATATCCAGGAACAGTTATGCAGGCGGGATACGTGGCGAAGAAAGCGGCGCGGGGATCGAGGCGTCTATGTCCCGTCCCATCCGAACGCCGCGGTCCGCTCCGCTTCGCGCGCTTCCCCAAATTTCGCATCCCGCGGAATCCGCGAACGGCAGACCGGTCTGTCAGACGCGGGATTTCCTGCGATCCGTCGCTCGGAAATCGTCAAAGCCCGAAAGATCACTCGACGAAAGAAGAGAATGGATCGAGTCGACTGAAGACAAGTTGGTCACTATCAACGAAGAGATTCTTTGGTCCAGAACAACGCACGACCAGTGTGCAAAAGTTAATCGGAAACAACATCAACTCCTTCCTCACTCGAAGCCTCAATCCATTCGGGGGCTAATGATGGGGTCATGTACCTAGGGTAGGGTCACAGACCTGATCTAAGTACCCTGCCCAAAGACACCCTTAGAAGAGGTCACCTTCCAGTCGACCAATGAGGGACTCACTCGACTGACTTGAAGGACTCGACCACGAAGACTCACTCGACCACCAGAAGGTCAAGAGGCACTCTGCACTGCAACGGCCTGTAATTAAGTAGACTTTATGATAGTAAAGACACTTTATGTGGGGCGTTACCAGTAACGCCCCAGACTTAACTCACCTTAAACCCTCTCCTACGTGGGCTGGCTGGGGTCCTGGCGCACTCTACATAAGCCACCCCCCTCCACAGGTAGAGGGGTTCGACACCTTGTAACTCATATACACATAATCCACTCGACCGCCTCTGGGCTCCGAGACGTAGGGCTTTTACTTCTTCCGAGAAGGGCCTGAACTCGTACATCCCTTGTGTTTACAACCTCTCCATAGCTAGGACCTTGCCTCTCCATACCTGCCCCCCACTCTACTGTCAGGCTTAGAACCACGACAGGTTGGGCCGGCGTGGTAAATTGACGCGGCTAACCTATGAATATAAAGGGGAGGGGACCAACGCTTTGAGGTTTTTCCATAAAGCGACTCGCTTCCCCGTAAAGGTGCGATTGCTAAGGTTAAGGACGGGTGCCACGTGCGACGAGTTCGGGTCCACCTGGTAGGACCATTTGGAATCCGAAGACTCCTTAGAGGGGAACTCGCTTGTCGAGCCGAAGACTCCGGATCTGAAGTTTAGTAGGAATTGTCCTCGGCATCGAAGACCCACTCAGGGGCTACTGACGGTGTCCTGGATAAGGGGGGACTAATCCAGTCGGCCCATTGCTCTTTGGGTTGGGCCGACGAACCCTCATTCGTGGTCAAGATGGACTCCGGAGGCCGCACGGAGGAGGCGTGATCAAGATTGCTTCTCCTCAAGACTTGACGTATACTCCAAGATCTCTGCCACCGCCTAGCTTATAGTTACTGACTTGTAAACTCTAGATACCCTCCTTGGTGTGTATATAAGCCATAAGGTTTAGCCCGTAGAGGGAACATCAACGCAAAATCATTCACCTAGCCCTAGAGTTAGACCACACATTACGATTTCAAGGTAGATCAACTATGTACTTATTACATCTCCATTGATATAAACAAGAGCAGGACGTAGGGTTACCTCCATCAAGAGGGCCCGAACCTAGGTAAACATTATCTTCTCCGTTCCTGTTACCCTCGATCCGAGACCCACAGCTCGGGACCCCCTACCCCGAGGTCCGCCCGACACCTTTGTTTAGATTTAGAGTGACATTTCCTAATCCTAAGAAAAGATTTAGGAGTGACATTCCCTAAAAATGATTTAGGAGTGACATTCCAAAAAAAGGATTTAGAAGTGATAGTTATTAATCTTTCAGTAAACTAAAAATGAGGACGAGTCGTGGCTTGATGGTAAGGGTTGACAGTGGCCACCCAGTCAGCCCAAAGACCGATCCCTGGGATTGTCGTTGGTGTCTCACCTGAGATATTTTCCCCTGATGTACCTTACACGTCTACGTGTCATAGGGATGATGTCGTACCTGTTGTACACAGAGTCGGATGGCTTCGAAAGTTTCTAAGGTGTGTTGCGTGTTTATATAGGCTAAGAGCAATTTCAATAGGGTGACCCATTTCGTTTGTTTGGGTCATCCAAAAACAGAAGTTGGCCTAACGAGGCGACCCAAACGGACACAGCGTCCGTCTGCTGTCCGTTTTGTGTCCGTCCCGACCCAATCTGGGCGCAAAAATGGGCCACAAATGGGTCCGCGGCGGACAAAACTGGGCGCTCCTACCGTCCGCTCCTCCCATCTCGTGTCCGGCCTGGACACACCGGGCAGCGACCCGCACTTCCTTCCCAACCGCCGTGTTGCACTTCCTCCACAACCGCAGCGACGAAGCCACTGGCGCAGGCTGCCGCGGCGCTCACCGGTGAGGCCAGCGTGGTGCTCACCGGTGATGCCACCGGCGCAGGCCGCCACCTCCCATTCTAATCTTGACGGAAAGCAGCGGGGATATCTCCGACAGGTTGGAGACCTCGAGGAACTGCAGGCGCACGACATGGACGTCTTCGGCGCCGCTCCTCCTTTTTGCTTGTGCGAGCGGCAGTAGCTGTTGTTACTTAGCTGGAGGAGTGAAGCCCGGAGCCGCTCGACGTGTAGACCGCGGCGGAGGAGGAGCGTGGCGCGCGGCGGGCCGGTGGCAGAGGCCGCGGCGTCGGCTGCGGCTGCGACGGGCGGAGGAGCGCGGCGGGGGAGGAGCGGAGGCGGGCGGAGGCCGGCGGAGAAGCGCGGCAGGCGGAGGAGTGGAGGCGGGCGGAGGCCGCGGCAACGACTGCGGCGAGCGGAGGTGGGCGGAGGCCGCGACAGGCTACTGCGGCGGAGGAGGAGCGCGGCGGGCAGCGGGCCGGTGGCAGCGGCCGCGGAAGAGCTAACGGCGGGCCAGTGGCAGCGGCCGCGGAGGAGCGCTTGTCCGCTTTTTGTTCTTGTGTGTTGGGTTTATCCAAACGTCGCGCGTGTCCGCCTCAGGTCCGCTAGGCGGACGGACGACCCAAACGGACAAAATGCGGACAAAATCCGTGTCCGTCCTTGGAGTTGCTTCATGTGAGGAAAAATGGCTAACTGAAAATTCAAAGGAAGACAAACCAAATCGGAGAGAAATACAAGAGCACAATGAATTTTAGGGTAAAGAAAATCTGATACTCCATCGCGCCTCGAGCTGTAGCCAACCGATCCGGCGACACCCGAGCCCGACATCGACCACATCATACATACAAGGCACACCTCGGCGTCAGCCGTGCGACTCACCCTTTTCCCCCATGTCGGACGTTTACAAGAAAGCCAAGCCCGGCCGCCTCGTCTTCAAGGGCGGCGAGGCCGCCACCCTCCGCAAGCCCAAGAAGCAAAAGAAGAACAAGAAGCCCGCCGACGATGTCCCCGCCGACGCCGACGCTGAAGCCGCCGCTGCCGCTGCGGCCACGGAGGGTGCCGAAGCCGGAGGCGACTACACCATCGACGCGGCGAAGCGGATGAAGTACGAGGAGCTGTTCCCCGTGGAGACGAGGAAGTTCGGGTACGACCCGTCCAACGCCGCCCGCACCTCCCGCGACCGCACCGTCGAGCAGGCCCTCGACGACCGCGTGAGGAAGAAGGCCGACCGCTACTGCAAGTGAGGTCAGGCGCTAGAATCTAGGGTTTGTTGATTCGGCGGAATCGGTCGCCTTAGATTGTTGCGCTCGGGGCGAATTAGATTGGTTTCTGGTGTTAAACACATGGATTAAGTTGTCGGGGAACTGATTTATGTTCGATTGCGTAGTTTGATTTGGTATCGATATGAATTATGAAACAGCCATATGTGATGTGTTGCTACTTTTGTTCAATGTTTGATGCACATTGGCGATACCAGAGAAACAGTTTGTATTTATACAATCTACAATTTCGGATGTTGCTGTTATCCAACTTTTGAGTGTAGATGTGGAAGTTGCTAAAATACCTTAGGGTTGGTTGGATCCTTAAAGTGTTGGTAGAAAGGATCACATACAGGGTAATGTAGAAATCCACTGACCAGGCTTACTGCTATATCCAAGGGGATTGAGTCACAGTGAGATTACTCTTAATTTCTATAATAATAGTTGTCATGAGGTGCGAATGTTATTTACTGTTTTGTTAGTCTTAAACGGGTGCTTAGCATAGGCAGAGAGGTGAATACTCACTGTCGTAATGACTGACAAACTTCAGCTGGTAGTGATACTTGTGGGTTATGATCGGGTTATCTTCGTATTATTTTTGGCATTGTCCTGGTCCCTTCTTCTGGTAGATAAATGATACACATAGGACAAAACTGACCATGCTGTTGTTCTTCGTTGATGGGAAGAAGGAAGACCCACTGCCCCGTGTTATCCTTTTGCTGGTCATGAGCTCTTTTATCATATATTGTTTGATTGTGTATAGAAATCATGGCATGACATGACAATGAAACGGTGTGTTTGTATTGATGGCCATGTTCAAACTGAATGTAGCTTGATTTTTTTTTCTTACTTGACAGGTGATTAACTCATCTTAGTCGTTTGCTGCTGTGATGGACAGACGGCTCACTTCAGTTAGTTGTTCTCAATGTATCAGAAAGTGCATCTTTGGACAACTGTTAGTCCAATGGTGGCATATGTAATAGAACTATTCTCTGCAGCGATCAAGCAATTCCTTTATCTTGCATGTTTGTACTAGTAAACACGTGTATAAAATCTCATGTTCACTCTCGGTTGTCCGTTTTGGTCAATTGGATAAATGGTGTATGCTTGGTACATGCCAATTTATAACTGTGTTTTCCATTCAGTTGTGTCCTTTATTTCTCTACTATTTTTGGTTTCGGATTCTCTGTCCCCAAGTTGTTGCTCGCCAAGGAGAATGTATGTTCCTTACCTTCTATTAGCAACAGTCTGACAAACCTGATCAACATCAGACGGCGTAGTAACATCAGGTACTTCCTGCCCTCTGTTTGGATTATTGTGGATTTAGACTGCACTTTACTACATTATTTGGTGCGGCTGGCACAAGGTTTGCCAGAAGTATATGTTTGCGCTTGACTGTTTGAGGCAAGTTATGCTGTATTTATATTAGGGTTCCTGTGGCAGTGGGCAGGCATGTGAAAATGCCTTTCTGCATCACTTAAAAACTATTGACAGTGATATGCATCCCTCTTTTCAATATGGCCATCATCCGGTGGTATGGGTCTAAAAGAGTGTGTAAAGCATAATAACATGAAAAACTATTCTAAGAATGCTTACTATAATTTTTTGGTAGACTTTTAGAAGTTTGATGCTCATTCTACTCCCATCAATAATTCCTCAAATTATTTTGTTCTGCTCGTCTTCTACTACCATGCATTTTTAAGAACAGTAGGAATGATGTCGCCTGACAAAGTGAACAGCATTACTCAACTGGAAATTTGGAGGGAACAATGCCACATGGCGGCTAGACCAGTTTATAGATTGCTTCTGATTAAATGCATGCCCGAATGTTTGGAAGCTCATCGTTTTTACAGGATTGCTGGGTGCCTTAGTCGCATTGTGGTTTTCGTTTCTGCTTTTTTTTTTCTTTCTGCGAGGAGCGTGAAAATTGAAATATTTACTCATGTGAGCCTCATGTTGATCTGTTGCATTTTTTTTCTGTTGAACTGTCCTAATTCATTCAGTTTGACGGAAAGTGTGTAGTTCGGCGAGGTTCCTCCACTTGCATTGGTAGTTTCGTGCTTCTGAGCAACTTGTTCGTAATGTGTCTTTTTGTCCGCTTTGTTCAAACCTTTTCTGGTAAAACATGACCTCACTTAATGTATCTTTACATTGTCATCTATCTTTGTATTAATCTTCTGATTTTCCAGTTCAGTTGGCAAATTGACATGGTTATATTCTTGTTTGAATTAGTTTATTTATCACTATCCTGTTTTGCTTTGACTTACTCTCAAAATATCAAATAGAGTACCTTTTAGTTTTTTACTATGGTTATGAAATTTTACAGTCTTCACTAATTGTTACTATGCCCAGGGATAATGGTCGTTCTACAGGAGTCAAAGTTGCTTTTACTATTTCACAGGTACAATGGTTTATAGCTACTGCTGAGTTGCTCTCTGACAAGTCATGACTTGTATCCTTTGCATAATTTTTTATTCATTCATGATTTCTCTTCTGCAGCTGTGCCTTTTGGGCAGGCGTGCTAGCAATAAGGTCGGGGAAAAAATTTGATTGTTGATCCTGTTCCTACCATTTCCAGGTAACTTTCTCTATCTCTCTATGACTATATCTGGCCTTAACATGCTTTTACGTGCTCGGAAAGCAATATCAGTAATAACTCAAGCATCCCTTTTTTTTGCCCTTTAAGGGAATGTAAAAGCTTGGTGCTTCAGTGTGTTGATAAAATGTAAAAGTTGGTATTTACAAGCCTAAAGTTAAGCTGAACCCCAGCACACAGACACATTAATATCTCAGAGGCACTCACACAGGGCAGCAGCAGGTTGAGGTTTCCTGCAGCTGCCATAGCCCAGGAGCGTGCCTTCGATTTGATTTGTTGGACCAACTCGTAGATGTCTGGGTGCTCCTCATCAAAGGTGCTATGAGGAAAGGAACAGATATCAAGTCTAGACTTTAGCTTCAGGTTGCCTCATACACCATCATGTCGTTGTACGGCTTTCTTATTAAATTTCTGACGGAACTGGCTTTGTCAGCAATTTGTATGGTGATTGAAGTGTATTGCACCGCCCTTTGAATCTAATGCCCTCATCTGGACCATAATGGGCAACGTACACTTCATACGTCACAACAGATGATCTCATTATTAACTATCCCACCAAACCGCTCCACAGAACTGCCGTTAATCATTGGTCAGGGAGGATGTGTATTCTCAAAGGACCCGTATCTAACGCATTTGCTTGTAGATCCTTCTTATGTTCACGCTGAGACATCCAACTTTAATCCTTCATTTTTGGCCTCCACTAACCTGAGGTCGTCACATGTGAGTAAGAAGTCTTTGCATTAAGTTTTGAAATGAGGTTATCCCTAGTGCTTGACACGAAAGAGGTCAACATAGAGGAGAGAAAGGCGCATTCCTATTCGGTCATTAAAGCCCACAAAGAATTCTTGGTATGCTTTACCTCTTATTCTCTATTAGAATGAATGGTACGCATGCTTCCCACTGGATATCCATGCTTTATGCCTCTCTCTCCTCTGAAAGTTGGAAGGCCCCCCATCCTTGTATGCATCCAGGGTGATTCATTGTCAGGCGTTATAGCTCCTGGTATCTGGTCTTGGTTTTCTAAAGGATGTTGTAGCAAATAAGGGACAGTTTTTTTGGGGCTGAGGGCTGGCTGTGGAAATAAGCTGCCCCCTACCCAGCTTATTCTAGAAGCTCAACCTAAAATTTTATTTTAGAAGATCAAGTTATCAGAGAATCAACAATTTTATCTCTAGAATGAATTTGATATTTCAACCAAGTATCATTTAGTACCAGAACTATTGCTGATTCTGGAAGAAAAAAATATTCCTTCCTTAGTCCTTACCTACCTTTTTTACGTGTATAATACAAGCTGTGTCATCATAAGCTTTTTGTTGCTTTGCAGAAAGGGCCTTTGATTTTATAAGTTGTTAAGCAATTACGTAAAGAAAAGGAGTCTGCTATGACTTTCCCTTTTTTACAAACATCCCTTTTTATCAGGATTACATCTCCCTAACCAAATACAGATACCAGTCTGCTGATGGTGATTGTTATTTAAGGGTATTTCCCCCCAACGGTTCAACTTGAGCCTCTTAATTCAATCTGGGAACCAGTATTTATGTGTGCAGATCAGATGATAATACACTGGGGTGTTTTATAAAGAATAGGATGGAAGCAGATGCTTTAAGCCGCCAGTCTGCAAGTTTATCGCTTAAGAGGTGAAGTGGTGTTTACGTTCCTTATCCAGAGAATTACTGAATCTTTGTAGTTTCTTGTTATTACTAGGAACTACAAAAGCTCTGGTACTGATTTTTCAGGTTGCAGATCTCCAAATTGCATGTTTCTTTTTCAAACGTTAGAGCATGTCCAGATGCTGCTTCACTGGAGTTGGATCCATCAACAGGTTCGAACTAAACTTGAAATCTACCCTAGCACACCAAGACCACTCGTCCACTCAGCACAAAATGACAGGGCCTTTCTACTTGCGTTGACTGAAGTCTCTCCTCTCCACAGTCCACACTCCCACAGTATACAGCCTCCAAAGACTGTAGTGTCCCTTTATGCTATGGTTTAGGTGCCATAGCATCATTTTAGTACTCCCTCCAATCCATATTAATCGTCGCTGATTAATCATGCCACTTTAACCTTTTCAGGGAAATATGAGTACAAATTAGTATAGCTATATTTGTAATGAGGATATATATGACTTGAGTCACTCGACATTGTGCTCATTTTTCTGGAAATTACTTCTCCACAGTAGAACTGCTTACTGAAGTCGACTGTGTGGTGCACGACGGCACACACATCCTTTCAGAGGAATGTGCAAGTGGGAGAATGAGAGAGACCCACTGCCTGTAGCAAGTACATTCCTATCTGTAACATAATGATTTTCCACCAAAATGTTCTTGATATTGGTTTCTTTCCCGCTCATTAGGATCTGAAATTCCCTCCAAGCTTACCAAGTTACTGGGTTTAATAATCAATTCCATCTCACTGCACCCCACAAGGCCCACCCTACTGATTAGTGATTACTAGAAGTAGATCGCTCAAGGTCAGATGAACTCATGCCAAGTAAAAGTTAACTTGACCACCCCTTAGAATTTGAAAGGATCTCATCAGGCATACGTCAGCATACACTCCGAAAAGACCACCATGGGAAGGTGAGGAGAGAAGGGAATTCCAAGCACCTATAAAATGACCCTATCCATCACATCTTCTGCAGCCAAGTATATTTCATGGACGAACATGCACCTGAGATTCCAGTTGGTTATAGCAGTTCCGCCACTTCACCAGCCAGCAGCGTCTGGGAGAGTCACCAGATCCTACACATGCATGCACCCTTCCCCTCATGGAGCCCCCACACCGGCACACTCCTTACCGCCGCTGCCACTGACCCGGCAACCTTCTGCGAGGATCCCTTGTCACCAGCCCGCACACACCTTCCAAGCGGGCATCTATGGAACCAGACTGACCTGTGAGTATGCACGCCGTACACTTGTTGATGCTTGTTCAGTGACATCTGACAGAAGTTGACCGTGAAACAACCTTTTCAGTAGCATGGGAGTTCATGGGAGCAGCAACGAGCTTGGCGGGAGCAGTGGCCATGGAAAGGACTTCCTTTCCTTGCTCGAAGCGAGGACGGTGATGCCAGAAATGCTCGATGATTTCTCCTCGGCGGCATGCGACTACCTCAAAGGGATGGACGGCAGCGACTACAACAGCATCTCCGGATCAGCTTCCTATGGTTTTGACAGTGGCGGTCCGTACGCTGGCCCCAGTGTTCTGCCCGTCAGGCGTGATGGGATTGCGAGCTCTCCACCGGTGTACCTCGGGAACAGTACCTTGGTGCAAGAGAGCATGATGGGTTGCATGCCAAGCCACAACCACGAGGTAAAACTAGATGGTTCCCAGCAGCAGGAGCTTGGAGCTCCCATGAATGCATTCCTGCACAAAACGCTTCCTACTAGTGTTGCAATTCATGGAAGCCCTCTGGGTTATTCTGGCTCTGGGAGCGAAAGGGCTTTCCCGGAGGGCCGAGTAATGCAGGTTTCGTTTGATGCTAGGATTTCACCAGATGCAATCTATGCTAGTGGTTACAGATCAAAAACAGAATTGGCACATACCAATCAGTATGAGCAACGTACTATTTTGGTAAGGCTGGAATGCTAAATTGTATTGCTAAGTAACGGCAGAGTAGAAGTTATTGCTGTTTACAATGTGCTCTACAATCTACCTGTGTACATATGATTCTTGAATTTGCAGGCAAGGACTGGTACAGGTCAAAGTGGTGCTGCAGGTGATCCTAAGAAGAGAAAATCAGAGGAAAAGTTGGCAGGCAACGGAAAGAGGTCGAAGAAAGATACTTCAAGTAGATCACCTCCCAAGGTAACTAACAATGAAGATTATTTGACGAACTGGTTTAAACTCTCTGAGAAGCATCCAATCAACTTATTTTGAGCCAAACACAGGCAGAAGTGCCTGATATGAAGTTGGGAGAGAGAGACAAGATCATAGCATTGCAGCAGATCATCTCACCGTATGGGAAGGTACAAATTCTGCAAGTATTGCTAAGTGAAAATAGTGAGATGACCTTCCATTCTTCTCTTTTTATTGCTAACTCCATCTAAAAGTTGTATTTTATCAGACGGATAGAGCGTCAGTGTTGTATGAAACCATCAAGCACATCGAATATCTACATGAGCAAATACAGGTTGATATCATCATAATCCTTTTCAGATAAGCCGTATGTTTCGACTTACAGATGTTACTGCCAAGGTTTCAAAGAAATTTTCTGCAGCTGAGCCATGTAAATACGTCCTGTAGCATAAAGATACAATGAAAACTCGCACCGACGGTTTCACATTATCGTTGCATTTCACTAAGCATTTGCTACCTTGACTTGCTATGCCTGTTTGTTGGCGGATTTCCATGCCATTCTTTTTCTTTCGAGAATGAGGATTTCCATGCCATGTCAAGTCTTGTCTAAAGAAAGATGATGTTGTCGTCGTCTATAGAATAATTAACATAAAGAATAATGTCACTCACACAGTCACGAGTCACAACCAGCACTACACCTTTTCTAAAGTTAGGTAATAATGCCAACTGTTAGTACCATGCTGACTGCTTTGCCCTTTTTCTGATTTGGACAGCTATTGAGTGAACCCTACATGAAGAATAGCACAAACGAGGTAGTGGCATGGAATTTCAGAGATACGTATTTTTCTCTTTTCTAAACCGTCTTAAGCGATACCCGGTAATGACTTGCTATCATCAACTCTTCTCAGGTGCCCTTTCAATGGGGAGGTAAAGAGGAGGACTTGAGAGGCAGAGGGCTTTGCTTGGTCCCTGTTTCTTGCACCCCGCAAGTTTTCCAGGATAATAGCCTGCCGGACTGCTGGACGCCGGTGTACAAGAGCTCCCGGTACCAATGATCCCAGCAATCGCATGTTTCCTTTATCACCTCTACTTGTCATGCTCACGAATTGGTTGGGGTGTTTACGACTTTACGGGTAGTCGGTTATTTTGCTTGTGTTCTCCTTGTTTTTACTTTACTATACTAGTTTTGTTTCAGGTGTATTGTATGGTGGCCGATGTGTAGTCTAGAATAACAAAGTTGTGGGTCTTAGATCTTTGACTTTGTACGAAAACGGTGCCGATGCAGGCTTAGCACTCGCTAATAGGAGAACAGTAATAACTATTTCTGTCTTTTGAAGGTTGAACCGCACTGCTTGTACTTGATATTTCCATGGCATTTTACCCTTTGATTTGATTTGCTACTTGATGGCATGGCTGTTAGCACAGATATGCAGGTATGCACGTCCAAAAAAAAAAGAGGAAATATATGTAGTGATGTGTAGGAAAATTATGGGCCAAATAAGACCTGCGTCTAAACTAGCTATTAGCCCTTCTCATTTGCGACATCTAGACTTCTGATAACCATTGGGCCGTCGTGGGCCTGTCTGAAACGCAGGGGAAAAAAGCCCAAAGGGGAGGGGTTTCTAAGGAATCACCACATTTTAGCTCTTGTTTTGATTTGTAGGATTTTGAAAATGTAGTAATAATGAAACACAAGAATATAATAGAATTGTACAGAGGGTGTATGTGCTGAACAAAGGGTTGTGAAATAGCAAAACATTCACAAAAATGGCGTTGATTTGCAAGAATAGAGAGAACACAGTAAAAACACGGTCTAATGAAGGTTAAAACACAAGTAAAAGTAAGGTTTGATCGTTAGCAACAACTTATGGCCTTTGCAGTATTCTTTGCATAGAAATGCAAGAACGTGGTTTGAGTAGATTGTAAAATTCTTCCATTTTCCCTTTTAAACTCAAACCAAAGGAAAAAAAATCCTCTACTTTTCACATGTACAATTCTTTAAAGGGAAAATCTATTTTTTTAAATCAAATGGACGAATAGTGTCATAAAAATATGTTTCTATATTTCCTCCACTTTCCCTGTGAATCAAAGAGTCCTTTGTGCTTTTCGGTATGAAGGAATTTGTCCTTGCCAATCACGTGGAAAGTTTCTCGCATGCGCAAAAAAGTTGCTAAATCATGCATCCCATGACCCACGTTGGGGTTCATCCGTGCATGTTTGAACCCACATACACAAAAACAGAAGCTAGTGTCGATATGTTCTTATTTTAAAAAAATACTATATAGAATCCACATGAGATTATTTCCTGGATTTTTTTGTCCAATTCTATGGCTACAATGTTTTTATT